CATTGTTGAGTTGTTCAAGAAGGTGAGAGTATTCAGCCTTAAACTAGACATGTCGATTGAATAGAGAGAAATTAAAGACCGTACTTTTTTGACACTCAATGGAACCACAGATTAAACAACAAACAAACAAAAAACCTGTAATTCACAGATTGGGAAAGATTAGAGTTTTTAGTAGAAGTGAAGTGACAATTCAGAAGGGATTTTTAGAGTTTGATGAGTATAAATTATGTTTTACATTCTCAAAGCAATGCCTTTGGAGTACAAACCTTAAGATATACCTGAATTCTCAAGCCTACCCTTCTAATCAGCATAGTTTACTTTGAAGAGAAACTAATTAAGCTAAAATTGATGTATGACCATTGCTAAGATAACTTATCCTGGAAAATTTAGAGCAAAATATATAAATCCCAAAACGATTCTGAAGTCTTTGGCTATGACACTAAATTTTGGACCATATTTGGGTTTATGTGGCTCTACGTAAATAGATTCTTTATCAGTGAATTATTGACATTGAAGTTGAGAATCACTCACACTGAAGTTGAGAGAGTTCCTGCTGCAAACCTGGAGTTTGATGTGCTCTGATTGAAATGATTCAGTCTATTAAATGTCAGCGTTCTCCAATTTGATTCACAATGAGCAGTGAATAGCATCAGGCCTAAAATTGTCGATCTTTGCATAAATACAGTGCTTTTTGGATTGCTTTTGTATTACTGCTGAATATCCATAAGTTTGAATAGTTAAGAGGCACTACTGTGCCAGTGTTGCAGTTGAAAATAATGTGGTCTGCAAAATTTAAAACTCTAAGTCTATGTACTCACTGTTGAAAGAAAAGTGGACATCCCCAAACTTGTGTATCTTCAAAATGTATTCCAGTGATGGTTGCTCAAAGTAAATGTACTTAATGCCACTGAACTGTAAACTTTAAAATGGTTAAAATGGTAAATTTTATATTATGCATATTTTGCCACAATAAAAAAAATGACTCCTTTCTCTTTAATGTACACAGCAAATGGACCTTGTAAACAATGTTGGAATCTCTGATCCTTAATTAAGAGAGCAAAAAGAAATATAACTCCTTGGTCCATTCAGGTTGGTATAATGATAGCTGAGAAATATTTTGTATGAGCATATACGAGCATAAAGATATTCTATAATAGCAATAATATGGGAAACTATGAAATAAGGACACAGAAAAAATAAACAAATTGGACTATATCAAACTAAAAAGCTTCTGCACAGCAAAGGAAACAATCAACAGAGTGAAACTACAGCCTACAAAGTGGGAGAAAATATTTGTAAACTATACATCTAACAAGGGATTAATATCCAGAATATACAAGGAATTCAAACAATTGCACAGTAAAAAACCAAATAACCCAATTAAAAAACGGACAAAGGAGCTGAATAGACATTTTTTTTCTAAGGAAGACATACAAATGGCCAACAGGCACTTAAAAGAATGCTCAACATCACTGATTATCAGGGAAATGCAAATTAAAACCATGTTGAGATATCACCTCACCCCAGTTAGACTGGCTATAATCAAAAAGACAGAATAACAAATGCTGGTGAGGGTGTGGAGAGAAGGGAACGCTCCTGCACTGTTGATGGAACTGTTAATTAGTACAACCACTATGGAAAACAGTATGGAGGTTTCTCAAACAACTACAGATAGATCTTCCATACAATCCAGCAAATCCCACTTCTAGGTATATATCCAGAGGAATGGAAACCATCATGTTGAAGGGATATCTGCACTCCCATGTTCATCACAGCTCTGTTCACAATAGCCAAGATATGGAACCAACTGAAATGTCCATCAATGAATGATTGGATAAGGAAAATGTATATATACAGCACAGAATACTACTCTGCCATAAAGAAGAATGAAATACTGCCATTCACAGAAGCATGGATGAGCTTGGAGAAAATTATGTCGAGTGAAATAAGGCAGGTACAGAGGGAAAAGTACCACATATCCTCACTCATAAGTGGGAGCTAAGAGAAAAAGAAGGAAGGGAAAAAAAAACACAGTGGTGCATTGGACTTGCAGAGGGAGAGAACACACCTAGGGTTGTGGGGTGGGGTGGATGGGGGAGGTCAGAGATTAATTTGGGGGGAGGGTGACATGGGGAATAATCCTAATTTGTGGTAATGGGCATGCTGATAGTGTTGATCTGGCCATCACATCTTTGGCACAAGTGGTGACAGTCAGCTTTGTACCCCATGAATATGCATAGCCAATTAAAAAAAGAAAAGAGGGGCGACCTCGTGGCTCACTCAGGAGAGTGCGGCGCTGGGAGTGCAGTGGCGCTCCCGCCGTGGGATTGGATCCTATATAGGGATGGCCGGTGCGCTCACTGGCTGAGCGTGGTGCGGACGACAACAAGCCAGGGGTTGCGATCCCCTTACCGGTCACGAAAAAGACTAAATAAATAAATAAATAAATAAATAAATAAATAAATAAATAAATAAATAAAATAGATAGATAGATAGATAGATAGATAGAGAAAGAAAGAAAGAAAGAAAGAAAGAAAGAAAGAAAGAAAGAAAGAAAGAAAAGAAAGAACACAGGAGACAAAGTTTCAGGATAGTAAAAAGACTAAAACAAAGAGGAAAAAAATGATGAGAAGGTTAATGAGGGTTGGAGGGCAGTTAATGTAGAACCCAAGGGTGATTCCATAGTCATATGCCAAGCAGATCCCTATCTGAGAGTGAGAAAGTCATCAGAGTGGTTTCCAAATGGAGCAGTAACTAAAACTGCCAAATGAAGATTATATGAGCAGAAGGGGTCAAGTTTTCAAGTGAACAGATATGATGTAGGGGGAGAGGGGAGTGAGGGATGGGGGAAGAGGAACGGGTGAGGGGTCATGAAAATCGACTATAATGTATATTGAGAAGTTAAAATAGAAAAAAGGGGGTCAAGTTTTAAAGTAGTTGAAAGGTGATCTATAAACACAAAATTGATGAAATATTGCAGTGAAATTGTTTGAAAATAAATGCTTTGTCAATTTTCACAGGTTTGGGGGACCGAAAATTGTAAAGTTTATCTCTTATCCAGTGGGTTGAAGAATGTAAAACTTTTAGTCATATTTTGCAATATCAATTTTTAAAAAACTATTCTGTTTCTGTTAACCATTCTGTTACTTGCAAACAATTCACGTTCCTAAAAATACCTGTGATTTTTCTCTCACAGTATTATAACAATTTATGTAAAGTGAGAAAAACACTGCTTATGTGAAGTCAAACAATGTATGTAAAGTGAAAAAAACACTGAAACCATTAATACATCACTAATAGAAATATATACATATAGCAAAGTGTAGAAAAATCAATAACTGATATCACACATCAGTGGCAGAGCCATGGGAGGGAAGGGGGGTAGGATAGCAGAGGGGATGGGCCCTCGCTCTTTTGACCTGCAATTTTCGTACACAGAATCAGACTATATACCACGGCTCCTCCATGTGTAACAATGAAAGTGAATAATAATAGCAGCTAACATTTGCTGAATGCCTACTATATGCTCAGTATTGTGCTATGCATAGACATATTACCGGTTTTATTTTATTTAATCTTTACATTTCTCCAGAGAAGTAAGTGCTCCCATTACCATCCCCATTTTTCAGAAGAGAAAAGTGGGGTTAAGTACCTGCAGGCTTAGTGAAATAACTCCAAGTGAGTAAACGGCAAAAATGGGATAAGGAGACTCAGGGGCGACCTATTCATTTACAAACTCCCCAGTACAGCCCTTTCAATCTCCATGTTGCTCCTTTCTCATTTTTCTACCCCCTTCAAGGTTGCCCCGGTACTCGTTTTTGCCTCATTTTGAAGGCATATTTTTTTTGTGTGTCTGAGAGAAAGGGACCAGGTGAGCACACAGTGTGATTTGCCTCGGAGCCTAGATCCATGAAGGATGGCACTGCCAGCTGTCCTTCTGCTGGCAAGCACCTCTTTCTTCTACCTGTTTGAATCTGACTCTGAGCAGCGTGGAAGAGAGATGGAGATGGACATTAAAGCACTTTCTGTGCCATGCACGGAACACCAGCTTTTCTCATTTATTTCTCACAGTACCCCTATGAAGTACAGAAACTATTGTCATCTCCATTTTATAAATGAGAAAACTAACACCCTGAAAATTTGAGTGACTTTCCTCAGGTCATACAACTGGTGGGTTGCAATTCCATACTCAGTAACTCTGGCTCCATAGACCCTACTCTTTCTATGGTACCATGTTACCTCCTTAAAGAGCTAAATTAGGCTTTCTAGAAGGCTCCCCCAAATTGCTTGATCTGGTGGCATAGAAAAGCACCTGCTAAACTATAAATCTGTCTTAGCTGGAAAGCAAAGCCTCTCCTGTTGTCTGCTTGAACTGACTTCCCTCAAAGAGGTGGACCCTAACAGTTTGGAGGTCACACCAAAGCAGGTATTGCTTCAGTTTTCTACAGAACTACAGAACCTGAGTATGACTACATCTTTCAAATGCATATCTCAGTCTTCTTGCTAAGGAACTTCCAGGGACTCAGTTGTATCAATAATTACCAGCATCCAATAGTGAGCCTTCCATGATCACTGCCCCCCCTGGTACCAGTATATAGGGTAGGATCCTTTGTTATGTGCTGTCACAGAACACTGATCCTTCAGAGTACTTATCTTAGTATGTAGTTATATATTCATTAAAGTGATCATTTACTTAATGTCCACCACTAGCTTGTAAGCTCCATGAAGGCAGGGTCAGTACCTGTCTTCTGTATCCCAGGCACCTAGAACAGTGCTCAGTAAGCCTTTGTTGAATGAATGAATGCATTTCCTATCAAAGAATCAGATGGCTGCTTATCTAGACATAAAGAAAATATACAACAGTTGTCTGTGCCTTGGATGAATGGGCCTAACTGTGAGGCTTCTCCAACCATCTGGTAGAGGTCTAAGTAATAGAAAAATGCTGACTCTTGCTCTGGAGGCCTTAACCTTCCCTGAAGGCAGAGATGAGATCAGCTTACCTCTTTCTGGTGGTACTTGATTGCCACCTTCAACTTGGCCAGGTCGTGGTACTTCTGAGGGTCAAGCTCCTCACTGTGGTCATCTCGATGGTTGAGGATGATCTCCAGTTCCCGGGAGCTCCGAGCTTGGTCCAGCAAGTCTTTGGCAAAGAGCTTGCACTGCTGGGAGAGCTCCTCATACTCGGCCTTGAACTCATTTTCCACCTTGCTGAGCTCCTTGAGCTCCCAGCCCAGGCGGAAGGCAGTTAGGATGGGGTCCTCGCTTGACAGAGCAATGAGTGAGGGGCTTGCCAAAGCCTTATAGATGTTCAGTCGGGAGCGGGAGTGGCGCAGGCTGTCCACCTCTGAACTGGACACACATTCCACGCAGTTGCAGCGGATCTGGTGGGGCCGTGGGATAGTGACCCGTTTTTGAACAAGCAATTTGATGATTTCATAGTTGTTGGTGTGAGCAGCCAGCATAATGGGAGTGATGTCCGGTGTGAACTCAGAGAACTGGGTGTCCATCATCAGAGTGGGGACCTGAGTATAAGAAATGAGAAACACGGAAGGGCATAATTAAAGTTTTGAGAGAGAAGAAGCACAGGGCCTACCAATTCAGGAATTGGTGTCCATTCTCTTGTCTGTAATAGCTAATGTTTGTGGAATCTTCTTACTATGAGCCAGGCACTGTTCTAAGCACTTTATATGTGTTTACTCATTTAATCTCCACAATAACTTTGTGAAGTAAATATTCTCCCCATATGAAGAAATCGAGACACAGGGAGGTTAAGGAACATACCTAAGGTTACACAGTTTTTAGAAGCAGAGCCAATATTCAAACCCAGACAATATGACTCTAGAGCTTGGCTCTTAAATTAAGCAACTACAACATGCTCAATTCTGTCTGAGACATAATAGGAGATACAGAGAAGGAAAGGACATTTTTTTCCTGACCTTCTAGAACTTAGTTGGGTAGATTGGACTCACATAAAATTGGTAACAGTACATAGCAATGTGTGTACAGTTCCAGATAAACAGTAGAGACTGAAGAAATATTTGTTTGAAAAACTAAAGATAACCAGTAATTTTAAATACCATGCCAGTAAATCAAGTCCTGGAGTCTAAAGAGAAGACTCCCTCAAATGGATACATTGACTTTGTATGTATACGGGACTTCAGTGGACCAAGAACCAAGGCCAGACACAGTTTGTCCAACTTCCTGGAGGCCCCAGGAAGGTAGAAATAATTCATTATTGTCAGGAAGAAGTACACTGAGGATTTCTAGGCTTGGGGAGGGGTTACTAATAGCAAAAGGACCTTTGATAAAACTTCTATGTCAATGATGTAATGTTTGGTGTAAATAGCAGCTATAGGTGAAAGGTGTGGAGTTCTTTGGGTATTCAGGAACACTTCTGGGTGAGTGTGCAGATTGTGATCAATGAATAAAAAGAACCTTTCAACTTTAAAATGTGTCTCCTGGAACCCAGTCTGTTATCAATCCAATAGAGAAACTGAGGCAGATCAATAGAATCCCAGAAGAGTCTAAGTGTGGTAGGATCTAGAGCTAGAGAACAGGTAGGACTGGAATAATCAGAGGAAACCTTATGGATGGGTGGAGTGTTCAAAGCATGGATAGGATTCCAGAAGATTGGGAAACATTGATCTTATTACAATTAAGGGGGAAAAAAGGTTTCAAATACTCATTTTAACTGTGGAGAACAGAACATGGGTAATTGACATTCTCACAGAATAGACAAATATTGTTTGAATCAGTAGTTTTTTTCTTTTTACTCGCAAAACATCTTTAGAACCCCCCCCCCCCCCCCCCCCCCCCCC